TGCCAGGTGTGTGACTTTGGAAATTTACTTACTTTTTCCTGAGTTTCTGTTTCCTTATTTGTAAAATAAGAGCACTATTTTAATCCTTGCATTATGTGACAATGTGATGAATATACTGGACTTGGCTTAGAGCTTAGCATATGGCTGGAGCTCTTTGCAAGAGCCTTTAGTCTTGGACAGGAGAAATGATACTTACACATAAATTTGTTTTCCTGCTATAGGAGATAAGAAAGACACATAGCCCTATTCCATATTGTAACCTATACCATTATCTGTCCCTTTCTTGGAGAATGGTAACAAAAGGAGGACAGAAGGACAACTAGGTAAGGCAAGTGACTGGCTATAGGAAAATGGATGAAATAGTAGCAAGGTGTATTCGTTTTCTATTGTCACATAACAAATTACCACATATTTAGTAGCTTAAAACAACATCCATTTATGATCTCACAATTTCCGTGGGTGAGTATTCTGGGCACAGGTTAACTGGGTCTTCTGTTCTGGGTCTCACTGATCTGCAATCAAGGTTTTGGCTTGAGCTGATTTCTCATTTGAGGCCTGGGGTTCTCTTCCAAGTTCACTGGTTGTTGCCAGAATTCAGTTCATTGAGGTTATAGGACTGAGACTCTTAGTTCTCAGAGGTTATCGACCATTACTTGCCATGTGGCCTTCACTACATTGGTACAGTTTGTTCTTCAAGGCCAGCAGGAGAGTGTCTCTTCTGCTTGTTGTCTCTTTTTAAGGCATGGGCAGGAAACGTGAGGCTCATGGGCTGTATAAAGCCACAAAATCATTTGGTCTGGTCCTGCCAAGACAACTGCAGATGGGACTCGAAATTCAATAAATCTAGAAGCTTTTTTTTCATGGCAATATAAATTTATATTCAGTGAATTATATTAAGGGACTTATGTCATAAATGTCCAAATGGCCCTTGGCAGAAAAAAATGTTTCCCACCCCTATTTTAAGGGCTCACCTGATTAGGCCAGATACATCCAGGTTACTTATATCCCTTTTGATTAATTGGAAGTAAACTGAGTAGGGATCTTAAAATCCCTTTTGCCAGGTAATGCAACATAATTCACTAGTTTTACCTAAACTCAAGAGGAGGAGACTATACAGTATATGTACATGAGAGGGATGGAATCTTGGTGGCTATCCTAGGATTCTGCCTACCACAGAGGGATCCTTGGATGTATCCAAATAAGCAGTGGAGAAATCTTCTTTGTTCTCTTTGTATCATATTTATGAGAACAAACATTGCTGGTGATACTAATCCAGCTATATTGTATGGCTTAGCCATGGTGAAATTGTTAAACAGGGAGAAAAGGGAACAGGGTGAACCTGAAGATATGGGACAGGCTTGCAATGGAAGTGGTACACTGAGCTTATGAATGATTGGATTCAACTTTCGCTGGCTGTTGCTTAGGAAAAGAAATAGATATTTTAAAGAAGGAAAATGAGATAGTTTTCCCTGTAAGAGCTCTATTATTAGTGTCTGTCTGTCTGCGTCTGGTGGATACATAATACAAGTTAATGCTCTATAGCCAAAGGACAAAACTGAAAGCAAGGTGATTACAGAGTTTTCCTTTCCTAAGAGAAAAACATTATTGTAGCCACTGATGAGTGAAATGTTTACCCATTAATGCATGGCAGAAATCCGTTATTGCTTCTCAGCAGATAAAGAAAAATACCAGGAAAGAGGTGAGGATTCCTAGCCCTGAAGGCTGTATTGTGAGAGCTGATTCTTCCCAGGAACTATGACTTGGCTGACGACTCTGGAACTCACAGATTAGTCTTTGCATCTGCAAATCCACAGTCCTGAGCAGCAGGCAGTTTAGCAGCCCAGAAACTCAGAGCTGGCTTGCCCAGTAGGCACAGTAAGAATGTGTTTAGGGCATCAAAAAACCAGTTCACAAAAAACTGCTTTTTTCAAATAATCTGATATTTATTAAGATAATTTTGCTGAACGTTATTGCATTTATTTTACAGTATGATAATTTATCCTTTAATTTGAGATTCCCCTCTGCAAAAAGGTGGAGGTGGAGGAGTGGGGACTATAATCTTTTTGGTGTTTATGGCCTTTAGAATCTGGCGTAAGCAATCACCAGGGAATTGTATACTACTGAAACCGGAGGAATCTGCCAGAGTGACATATTTCAGTCTGTTGCTTCCAGATAGAATCATCCCTAAACCATTTTCACACAGAACCAGAAAATGTGCACTCCATGTTTTGTTCTGTGATATATCCCAGCACTTAGTACTGTGCCTGGGATATAATAGCTATTTAGAAAACATTCCATGAATGGATGGATGTTGCCATTTTCAGCAGTTTCTTTCTTTCCCCCAGGTGGCCTATCTCACTTCACTCCCAAAAGTTTCCAAGGAGTCATCAGATAACATTTTGTGTTTCGTAAGCTGCCTGTTGGTAAAAAAATAATCCAGGGGCACTTTTCAAAAACACAGATTATTAGGCCTCTCTGTTGGAAACTGGTTTAGGAAGTCTAGGCTGGAGCCCAGGAATCTGTGTTTTTGACAATTTTAATGAGTCTTCTCTTTAAAATCAATATTGAGATAAATAGCAGGAGCTCAGCTCTTACCACACAAAGATTGAAGAGCCACAGCCACTTGACCCAGTTCTAAAAGAATGAGGGGCTGTAAGAGTTTTCTGGTCTACTCCCAAGTCACATGGGTCCAGCTCTGAATCCTGATTCCTTCTTTCCTAAAGGAATGATCTAGGAGAAGAAGTACTTGGAAAACCCTCTCTTTTTGAGACTGCCCACTGAACTTCTTGCCTCGTCTTTCCCCCAGGCAAGATTTCTGTTCTGTCCCTTCTCCCAGCTACAACTAACACATTAATTCACAGCCACCTCTGTTGGGTGGGAGTTGACCTCTGCATCCAGATTGACTTTTTAGTCAATCCTGGTCACTGAATCTGAGTGTCCCTCTGATGATGGCTAAATAAAGCCTCTGTTTTTAGCACTCCCCTTTACTTTACACTTGAGAAAAGGGAAGATCTGATCCACATATGGCCCACTCTTTCTATCCCAAGGCCTCCCATATCCCATCTGAGGCCTGAAGAGGTGAACTTCTCCCTCAGCAATTCCTCCTAGGTTTTCTTATCCCCAGGACCTAGTGACTCCTGGCTGGTTCCCCAAAAACTTAGAGATTGAAGTTTTAGAGTAGCTCAAGGGAAAAAAAAATTGCTGCTTTTATTCTTGGTTTCATAAAACATTTTCCTAAAATACTATCTCCTATCCAGGAAGATAATCTTGGGATCATTAACCCCTGGGCTTGAATTCTTGGAGATTAAGCACAAAGAAAAGATAAATCTAGGTCAAAGGGAATAATCTGTTCTGTAGCTGAAGGTGAGAGAATATAACAGACTACTTATTATTATGGTTGGCTAATACAGTAGCCACCTATGGCTATTGAAATTAATTTAATTGTTTTAAATTAAAAATTTAAAAGTACTTAGTAGCCAATGTACCATATTGAATGGCACAGTTATAGAGAGCATTTCTTCAGCACTGTTTTAGGGGCATGACGTTGCCCTTTGAACCTGTCAATGTGGTGTTTCTTTGGAAATAGGTCTTTGTTTCTATTGGTACTCTTTGTGGGTCTGATGCATTATTCTAGAAAAACACTAATGATGACTGCATTAGAACACAAAAGCAAAACCAAAAATAACTGCCATAACTACAGTAGTTGGAGGGAGGTACATTATCAAAAGGCTGCATTCTCCCCAGTTTTCTTTTTTCTATTCCCCTTCTGCAAAAGTGTTCTTCCTTTTTTTTCATTTACCTTTCTGTCCTATCTGTAGAGTATCTTGTTCTAGGTATGGCTTCTCAGACAAAGTGAAATGTTAGACTTGACTTCAAAGAGAAAAGGATCAGAGAAAAACCAAAAACCCGTTTGGGGCACAGGAATATGCATTTGGACAGAATGCCCCCAAATCACATACCAGGAAAAAATGGAAAAGAAACAGAAAGATACAATGAGACTGGGAGGAGCTGATGAGGCCAGGACAGAGGTCTAGTCTGGAAAGTAGGTCTGGAGGGTAAGGCAGACTGGGCCAGTGCTCACTATTCCTGAGACTGGCAGGCTGCCCAGGTGCTCAATAGTTCCTTTGTGCAAGAATTTCCTCTTCAGAATCCTCCCTCTTAGGAGCAGCTTCTTCCATAAGAATTTGCCTTCAAGTCCATGTGACTGCCATCCTAGACTCAGTGTGTACATGAAGAAGACATAATGGGTTAATTGCTATGCTCTGTGGAAGGAGGCCTCCATCCCTGATCTCTTAGATGAGTTACAAGGACTGTGCTCCTCTCCTTACTAGCACTGTCTGTGGTTTCCCTCTCTTAACACCCATACCCATGTAATGGGATCTTTAATGCTTGTGTTCTCCCCTGGGTGAAACTAGGGAGACTGAGTAATGCTTTGAAACATGGCAGGCAATGAGGTTGGCAGGTCGAAGGTAGGATAAGGTTAAATAGTGAGGATCGGGGGCCAAGGATCACAGGAGACAGAAAGCAGGGCAAGCAAGGGGCAAATTCAGGTGGGCATCAGGGCAGGTGTATAGAATTATATACAGTTCTGCAGCCCTGCAGACAGAAGACTGGAGATGGGGCAACCTTTTGGACTCATCCCTGAGGCTTTTCTCTGCTTTCTTGGGAGGAAGGACTCCCTCACCCCCATACCTAAGCATGGTTGGCCAGTGGCTTGTCGAGGTTGATCACAGCACAAAGTAAAAGTGTGGCTAGAAAGGTAGCTGGTTGGTGTTCAGGGGTTTTCCATTCCTTGGATGGGGGCAAAGGTTGTTCCTCTCTGTATTGTAAACTTCAAACCTTTCTTCAGTCTTGAATGAGTTCCCAATGTGAATGCAGCAATCGGGACTTCCACTCTACCTGGTCTCCGCCCCTGCTTCCTCCCCACCCCAGCCTCTGCCAAATGCACAGTTTAAAGCCACTGACATATAATGCTTCATTTCCCTTTTTGTCTCTTGCAGCCGTCTCCAACCTGGACATTGAGAGTAAGCTGAGCGTGTACTACCGTGCACCGTGGCACCAGCAGAGAAACATCTTCCTCCCAGCCACGAGGCCACCCTGCGTGGAGGAGCTGCACCGCCATGCCCGGCAGAGCCTGCAAGCCCTGCGCAGAGGTGATTAATCCCAGGCTTGGAGGGCTTTTCAAGGAGACAACTCAGAGAATATCCCATTCAGTTGTTCTCTCTCACATTACTCACAATACTTCCTTTTGTTATATCAAGTACTTTGAAACACTCCCTTTTTTAACCTGAAATGAAGTCATACATAATATAAACTAACTCTACACATAATTAAAAGTAGCATTATAGTCTAAATATGATAATAAACAGAATTTAAAAGGAAAAATATTTGTTGTGATAATAATACTTGCAATATGCAAATGCCTGGGCATGACTACACTAGGACACATAATGAAGCAGTGTTTGCACCTATCAAAGTAGCTTTGAATTAAGTAAAAACAATCGCAAGTCATTTTGAAATAAAAAATATTGGGAAATGAAGGGGTTGAGGGTAAGAGATAATACCATAAAAACTGGTACATTCAGAGTATGTGAAGCATGAGCCAAAAAACACCCTTGGGTTATAACTAAAAGGGATTTAGTTTTGATTCAGCAATAGGATACAGACTTTCCCTTTACAAGAAGTTCTGGTGGGATATTTGTGACTTGGGGCACTGTTTTCTTGTTTGGAACTGTCCTGTACATTGTAGGATGGCTGTCATCCTTGGCTCCTGTCCAGTCATCAAACAACCAGACCTCTCCCATAGAGCTCTTCTGTTCCTGTTGAGAACCAGTGATCTGGTCCATTCTACAGTGTAGCACGTGGAGGCCTAGAGATGTCAGGAAACTTGCTCAGGGGCACATATAGCAGGTTAGGTATAGAGCCAGGACCACACCTGGGCCTCCAGCTCTCCAGCCAGAGCTCTCTCCATCTTAACTATATACCGTGTTCTAGGGAAATCACTAAATATTTCTATTTTTGTCTCTCACAGTCCTGAGAAAGCTAGAGTTAGGCACATAGCAGTCAAGGTAGAAGATGCAGCCCTTTCTTGCACTGGTTACTTTTCAGTGTCTTAAACCCATTCTAATTAGGACAAGGAGATAACAAACTGGCATCATTCTCTTAGAGACCCCTAACTTGGGTATCAGGAGTTGGCATGGCAGCATTTTGGCCTTTAGATTTTTGCTATGGAGAAGATAGTGCCTGTACATTCAATGTCTTTGTTCTAAATTCTTTATGCTTCTTTAAGAAACTGTATCTTGCAAAAGTATGAATATTCAAGTAAAATATTTTAAAGTCACTATCAAGATGGGGAAATAAATTGACAAATGTTGGTTTCAGCTTATTTTTTTTTCACATATGTATGACTTCTCCCTTTTCTCCAATCCCTAGTCACTTTCCCCTTTAATAAAAGAGCTAACCTACTGATATCCCTAACACAATTGTTTCTCAAAATTCCCCTTGGTTATTAGTAGTGAACACTAGGATACTTACAATGAAGAATGATGATCAGTATCCTCTAGAAAGAAGTATCTCTGGCATTTTTATTATTCCTGTGATATTATACATGGCTTAAAAGACATCCTTTACCAAATTTTTAGTGCAAGCCACCTTCTGGAAATCTTCCCTAACACTCTCACCATTCCTTTGCAGCTTGGATTAGAAACCCTTCTCATCCTGTGCATCTTCCCATCATGCCACTTACAAGCTTATATTATAACTAAAAACCTATAGGCCTATCTTCCACCATTAATTCATGAGCAACTCAAGGGAAAGGATATCTTATTAATTTTTTTATTCCAAGCATTTAGCATGAGTGTGTCATATAATAGGTCCTCAAATGAATGTTTGTGCAACTGGATGAAATTCTTAAGAAAACTGGTTGAGCATTGAGGGCACAGAATGATAACAGAGAAATGCGATCATTCTCACTAAATGCTTTCTTTGATTCCATCGTTAGAGAGCTTGAGTAACGTTAGCCCTTTAGCCATAATTATTTTTATCCTTTTATTATTATTCATAAGTCATTTTTATTCAATTTTTTTTCCAGATTCATCCAGATAACTTTAAGCTATTCATAGCTATCACATTTCACTGTGCTGTCAGTTTGGGCATAATGGCATAACTGAGAAACAGCAAGTGCCAATATCAGTTTTCTGTGAACTTCCTCCTAGGGGCTGAGAGAGGGATGTGAGGGCTCGTGGGGTTTGGAAGGAAGACCCTGGAGCTGCATCTTGCCTCCACAGACTGGCTGGCTTTGTGGTTGTCTCAATAGCAAATCTTGGGTGTGGTGATTTTAATAGCACTGCAGAGAGCCATAAACAGGAATTATAGGCATCATAGAATTAAAAACATGCAGTGTAGAATTAAAATTAGAAAGTGGCTTTTTTTTTTTTTTTTTTTTCTTACCTTGTCCAAGAAACACAGCGGCTTAGCACTGTGATCAACAGAATAGTACTTCTGCCATCTGGTGGCCATGACTAATTCTGACCTATCATACAATGGCCTTGCTCAGCAAATGCTGTAGTGAGTTTGCCTGTGGGTTATCTATTTGGACAGATGAAATAGCCTGGCTTTCACCAGGGGGAATAGGATACTGAAGCTTTGAGGGAGCTGGGATATTAAGATTAGAACCTATAAATTGGCTGCATTCAAGATATGTTCAATATAAATCTGGGATTCAGACTGCAATAATGTTATCGTCCCTGCCCACAAAGAATTCCCGATCTAATGAGGATGATAAGTAACCAGGTAATTTCAACATTGTGATATGAGGCTCAGAGAAAAGGCAATAGTTATGCCATGGAGCTTCAGGGAAGGCTCCCTGGAAGAAGTAGCACCTTAATGGATTTCAAATTATTTAGAATCTGATTCCTCTTTTTTCCTCCATTTCTTAGCAATTCTTTATACTCAGAGACAATAATGGCTTTAAGTGATGCCATTGTTTATTTTTGTAAGATAGGGAGAGATTACTCGATGGCTAAACAGAGATATTTATATTTTATACTTCCTTTCTTTTCAAGTTGCAGGGCTAAGGTCTAAGTTCCATTTACCTATGGTAACAAGAACCAAGAGTTGACTGTAATGTCAGTCTCTAGTAGACAAATGTTCTCCCCACCTCACCACCAGAGAAGAGCATTATCAGAGAGCAATTAATCTAGCCTGCTTATTCCCTGCCTAGGGTGAATGAAAGAGATCTATTTAAGAAAGTGTAGGAGGGAAGCAATTGAATGGGAAATTGAGTTGCTATCTTCCTCCAGACTCCTCCCTTCCTTTCACCTTTTCCTAACCATTGATACCTGTATTCTATTCTACATTATGAATTTAAGACTGCCAAAGCTTTTCCTTGCACTGCTTATTTAGTAAAAAGCCCACTATTTGCTTGTAGAGAAAAATGAGGGTGATATTGGAGTAGGCACTTTAACAAAAAGACATCTGAAAAATGTAGTTAGTTCTGTTTCCTGATAAACATTGGCTGTGAAGGCAGTTTAGCACTACCTAAATGGTACTGAACACTTTTTCTGTTTGCTAACTGGAGTCAACATTTGACTAAAGAATCTCAAGAAAAGGAAGATAAGGAATACTACCATGTTTTCCTGCCACAAACAAAGTCGGTAGTTTAGGCAGAGAAACCCACAGATAGCCGAATCAGACATGGAAAGAAATCTGAAAACTTGAGAGTGCACGGGTACATTTAGTGTAGCACACTGCCTACAACAAAGAGGAAATTGGGCTTGCATTAACGAAGCGGGTGGAAACAGGCAACAGGACCTAGAGAAGGTCCCACCAATTGGTGAAAAAGATAGGGGTATGGAGTACACTCTAATACTAAAAGACTAGACTTTGACCAAAGCATTCATTCATTCTTCCTTTCAGTCACTCAACAAACATTTATTTAGAAGACACTGCCTCTCAATCTAAATAAAATGTAGTCTCTGCTTTCCCCCTAGTGATAGAGGCAGGCATATAAAGATATCTTGATTTCTATTAATACAGTGATAGAGATGAAATGGGCACTGGGTATTATCAGACCTTTGGAGAAAGGGCTTACTTCTGATGTCACCTGAGAGGATCAGTGTAGTTAGTTCTGTTTCCTAACATGGGTAAATAAAATGAGTAATGTCTTATGCTCTGTCAAATATTCTATATTATATTAATATTCAAAGAATTAGAATGTGATAAAATATAATTATAATCTAATACTACACAAACCTAAGCAGTCTTGCTCTGATGAGTGAGAAAGCATGTTAGGGCCTTACAGTGCCTATAGGTCAAATAGTGGTAAAGAGCAGGGGCCTTGGGCCAAGCGTGTACCACTGTTGCTCAGCAGTGACTTAGCCTCCCTTGAGCCCGTTTAGGTATCTGCAGAAGAGGAGTGTGTTAGTACCTGCTGTTGAGATGCATAGAAGAGCTTTAGCAAAGTGTCTTTGGCATAGGGCAGTGGTCGGCAAACTCATTAGTCAACAGAGCCAAATATCAACAGTACAACGATTGAAATTTCTTTTGGGAGCCAAAAATTTTAAACTTAAATTATATAGGTAAGTACATGGTTATTAACTTAATTAGGGTCCTCCTAAGCTGGCCTTTGCCAAAAATTCAAGGGGCCAAAGAGCCACATGTGGCTTGCGACCACTGGCATAGGGCAATTGCTCAGTAAATATTGGGCATCATAGTTATAATTATTGATGTATTAAGAATGGTGATTTTAAATAATACAAGAGATGATTAAGAAAGATGCTGTACCAATTTGTGTCTTCATCATGATGTAGTCATAAGATTTCAGGTCCTGGACATGAGTATAATCTAGTTTTGGGCAGGTGAAATGGCATTTGGTGTGGCCAGTGTGTTGGGTTAGGCATGTTTTGGAGCTTTTTTAAACACCCAGAAAGCTAAATGGTTCTCTTAGTGTCTCAGTGATTCTTGATATGAAGTCAGCATCACTTTATCCCACATAGGGAAATGTCTTGGCTTTTCCCAGTGGTATCTTTATTCCGAAATCAGACAACTGTTGTCATTGAGAGTTCTTTACTTTCCCTAGAAGTCCAGGGTTTCAGAGCCCTCAGAGTATTATGGGTGACAGGGATCAGATGACTAAAACTGTGTGCTGGTCACAGGCTCTCTATACAAGCAAACAAAAGTAATAAAGTAAATAACAACAACAAAAGCCCTGATACATAGTTCTCACCAATGTCTGTGATGTAAATTCTCACGCTATGACCTATTTCAAGCTACCAACAGTTTAAAAACTACCTTGTAAAATTCCTGAACGTACAGCACTCAGCACCCCTGAGCCTATATGAGCTGGTCCAGCACCTTTGGGACGGTTGTGAGCAAATTTATCCCTGCACTCCCTGGGTGGCTCTGGCATGTCTGTGCCACCACATCTTCCACCATTGTTCTGGGTATTTTTTACTCATATTGTTCTGAAATGAGGCACATTTAGAAATATGCTGCTTTTTCCAAACTCAAGATTGAGCCATCTTGTATGAAGATGATGAGATGGATCCATTGAAATGTAAGTGTATAACTTCATATTAATATGAAGTGGAAGTTTAGTTCAAGACCATTCTGAAAATCATATTTGGTATACAAATGAGCTAACTTATTGACTCACCTTTCTCCAGCCCTTTGCTCAACCTCCCATCAAGACAAGAGACATTGAAAACACCAAGTATATAAGCCTAATAAATGGATACAGACAACAGGGGGGGTGGAGGTATGAATGTGAGGTGGGGGGGTAATGGGGGAATAAGGACACATATGTAATACCTTGATCAATAAAGAAATTAAAAAAAGTGTAATGTCAAAACAAAAATAAATAAATAAAATGCCAAGTATATTTATGCATTACTGCTTTTTCTGCCCCTAGAACATCGGAGCCGGAATGATCGCCGGGAGCAGAGAGCTGCTGTGCCCCTTTCTGTAGCTGCTCCTCCACTGCCAGCCTACCCCCCAGCTCACAGCCAGAGGAGGCGCGAAGTTAAGGATCGTCACTTCTTAACGGTGAGCTTTGTGGCCAGCTGGTAGCCCTGTCCTTGCTCATCAGGAAGTAGGAGTAGGTTTTAGGAATTAGTTTCCCTCCTAGCGAAGGAGACTGGGCTGTCTGAGAGAGTGAATCATGTGCATTTGAAAACAATTTAATTTTCCCTCTTTCATTTCTGAAAATAATGCTTTTCTTTATAGAGTAGGGATATATATATATATTTCAATTACCTTGTTATATAATGCAGTAAAGCAGTAACAGTTAAGGAATCTAAGAATCAGAGGGAAATTTTACTTCAAATCCTTCTTCTACACATAAACTGAAAGATTTAGGGCAGGCTACTTACCTTAATTGCCTTCAGTTCCTTTGTCTGTACCATGAGGATATTAAATATATCTAGATTATAGTGTTTGAGGGTTAAATGAGACAAGGCATGAAAATAACTTAGCACAGTGCCTGGCACAGAGTAAGACCTCAATAAATGTTAACTACTATAACCACCACTATTATTCCTAGTCAAGTGAGAGTTTGGCTGACTCAATGGGATGAGCTGGGAGAGAACTTAAATGATGTGTTAATTTTCCATTTGTGCACAGTTCATTTCATCATTTCATGTTTTCCCCATTCTATAAAAGAGGCTAGTTCTTCAGAGTAGCCAATTACCAGAGTGATGTCATCACCAATGGTGATTTCAACCTTGCCTCGGTGGCTGTGGCTGTAACTTAGCCCAACCCCTAAGTATAGAACAGCTCAGAACATCTGCATTCTTCTGCAGACTATCAGCACCACTGCACAAACCATCAGCCCAGATGTGCTTTCTGGGGCCTCAGTGGGGCCAACTTTGTGCCTCTGAGTAGGGCATCATTGCCATGAGGGGTTATGGTTTCTATGACCAAATCAGCCCATTCTGCCTGCCCAAATGGTTGGACCCCTGCTCTCTTGTCATTTTAGTTTGAGGCCCCAAATCTAAAGAAGTTACAAGAGTGTGGTTACATAGTGAGATTTTTATTTGAATTAAATTTATGTGTATGACTATAAACCCTGCGCCCTTATGGTTTTTACCATATGCAAAATTGATGCAAATTATGTGTCAGATGATGCCAAACATCCAGATGAGCAGACTTCACCTGAATGAGTCTGTGTGATAAGACATATCCAGATAAAACAGAGTGATATTGGACAATACATAGACATATTTCCTACTTGTGGCTGGACAGTAAGCTTCATGTCCTTCAGACTCATTCAATGTCTACTGAATGTCATGTCACCCTCACTACATTGCTGCAATGCAGACCAGGAGTAAGAAAAGAAGGTAAGAGCTTCTTAGAGTTCTCTAGGTCTTTTTATAGAATAGATACACATGCTAGTGATTTGTCATAAAAGCCCCTTCTCAACAAAAGCTCATATTAAGCTCAGCTCTGCTTGCTGAAGTATTTGCTTTTAATGAGGCATTTTCTGCAATAAATGCTAAAAATATTTCCCCCATTCATTATATATGTTTTGTGGCTCATTAAGTTGTTTTTCAGGGGGGAGGGGAGAGAGGAATGTTGAGCATTTATAGAAATGACCTAAAAATATTACCCTTAGTCATATTCTGCATAATTTTTAATAATGTCTAAATATCAAAGTAAGACTACAGGAAAAGGCTTAAAATAATGAATAGAAATGAGGGTATTTACCCAACACACATCAATAAACCTGTAGATCATACTTATGTAAACTCCAGAAAATTTACCCATCTCATATTTTAATACTTAGTATTTAAGTAAGTTGGGGAAACAAACTTAAAGTGTTTCATTTGTTCAATTGAATTTAAGGTACCAGGATTATTGGAAGATTTTCCATTCATGTTATATCCCTCATACTTGGAGCTGACTCAGAATAGAACATGATTCTATGCAATTGGCTTACAGAACTGTATATTACTGTAATGAAAAAAGCTGCAGGTATAAGGACAAGAAATTTGCAGCCAAGTTGTTAGATACACATTTTTTATATAACAAATTGCTTGATAGACCTTTTCTTTTTTTAAAAAATATATTTTATTGACTTTTTATAGAGAGGAAGAGAGAGGGATAGAGAGTTAGAAACATCGATGATAGAGAATCATTGATCAGCTGCCTCCTGCAAACCCCCCACCGGGGATGTGCCCGCAACCAAGGTACATGCCCTTGACCGGAATCGAACCTAGGACCCTTCAGTCTGCAGGCCAATGCTCTATCCACTGAGCCAAACCAGTTTCGGTGATAGACCTTTTCTTAGACAGCAAGTCTCCTTTCAACTATAAGACTTTAGGTTGGTCATTTTTCCACCTTAAAAAAAAACATTCATAATGAAATTATGATATACAATATTCCACAGCTCTGCCCTGGACTTGAATACCAGCTCTACCATTTACTAGCTGTGTGACCCAAGACAAGTGCATCATTTCAGTGCCTCAGGGATAATGTAAATAATACCTCATAAGTTTGGAACAAGAATGTGTTTATACATGTCAACAGTGCCTGATATATAATAAGCACTCAATATGTAGTAGACATCATCATTGTTATTATTATTAGCCAATCAAATCTCTGACGTATCACTAATATAGTAATAATATTATAGGTCTAACTAGGTTTAAGTCCTAGCTCTACAACTTTTTGATTGTGTGATTTGGAAGATTTTATTATATCTTTCTGAGTCCCAGTTTCTTTATCTGCAAAATGGGGATAATAACTTCAGTTTTACAAGGTTGTTAAGAAGGCTTAATACAATCTTAGGCAAATATGTTTAAATTGTGTGTGTGGGTGTGAAAGTATCAGCACAGTGCCTAAAATACATGAATATCTGAATCTATATTCATAATCGCAATAAAACTCTTACCATAAAATGAAAAGTCTATAATGTATACTCATATATAAGACTGGAGGAAGTAAAAGTTATCTCATCTTTTCTACAGGGCAATTTCCTAATACTTGTCAACACTATTATAGATTCATATCTTTTGATCTAGCAATTCTATGTCTAGGAATTTATCTCAAGCCAATAACAAGAGTGATACAAACATTTAATCACTGGGGTGTTCATCAAAATGCTATCTATAATAAGGAAAATAATTACAAATATCCTAAAAGTTCACTTTAAAGAGACTTACTTTATTGAATTCTGATATATGCATAGGTAAATATACAATATAAAAATGTATTATAGAAGAATATATGACATGAAATATGTTTATCATCAGGGATTTTTAAACAGTGCATAGTATGAACTCAAAAATATCTATGGGTATATATGTGAGTATGTATACACACATGCAGAGGAAAAAGGTTGAAAGGCCAAACACTATATACCATGTTTCCCTAACTATATGATGAGGTACTCCAGGTACTATAGTGAAATCATAAGGGTGCCTTGGGTTATTTAAATTTTTCAAGGGACATGGTGTCATTTGTTTAGTGACATTTGGTGATGGCTCGAAAGTAGCCGCATAGCTCCTATAAGTGGAAAGAGGAGAAACTTAGTTTCTTGACATTTGATTTCTATCAAAAATTCTCCAAGAGAAATTCACAGGAAACTGACCATCCAATTTACCTTAAAACTGTCAGTTGAAAATTCAAGGGGTGTCTTCTAATTAAAGCCCATTTTGTAGTCCTCCCTCATCAAGGATGGCGAAGGAGGTGATTTCAGGCTCAAATGGATTCCCAGAGGAGTACTTCAAAGTCCAGATAATCCCAATGCTCTATAAATTATTTCAGATAATTAAAAAGTGTGGTACATTTATACCATGGAATACTATGCAACAATAAAAAGAAGGATATCTTGCCCTTTGAGACAGCATGGAGAGACCTGGAGAGTATTATGCTGAGCAAAATAAGCCAGTCAGAGAAAGACTAGTGTCACATGATCTCATTCATATGTGGAATCTAATGAACAAGATAGATCCAGAGATATAGAAGTACAGAACAGACCGTGGAATCTCAGGGTGGGGGTGGGTGGGTGGATGGGAAGAGATCAACCAAAAACTTGTATGCATAATGCATAAACCGTGGCAGCCAATAGGGTGGTGAAGACCTGGGGTGAGGGACAGGAGCAGGCCAGAAGGAGCCCATGGGGGTAAAAAGGGGACATACAGTATGTAATGCTATCAACAATAAAGATTTAATCTAAAAAAAAAAAGAAAATGAAGTAGAATGTTCCCATTTCTTACTTAATGGGGAAACAGGCATTTTCATTAAAATCTGGAACAAGGCAAGGATGCTCACTATCTCTGCTGCTAATTAGCATTATGTTAATCACCGCAACTAAACAAAATAAATCAATTGCATAAGAATTGGTAAAGAAGTAAACCTATATCTAGTTGCATATATGATACTATATCAAAAAAATCCTAGAGAATCAATGATAAAGCTGACTCAAACAAAAGAATTCGGCAAGTTAGTAGGCTATAAACACAAAAAGCAATACCCTTCATTTACACAAATGATAGACAATTGGAAGACCTAGTGGTAGGGAAAACTCCATTTTCAGCAATAACAAAGATTAAATACTTAGGAATTTATTTACCAGAAATATATAAAACATATCTGAAAAAAACACTTTAAAGCATTCTTAAAAGACACAAGATTATATTTTCTCAAATGGGAGGATGTTCTCTGTTCTTGGAGAGAATGATTAATGACTCAGCATTATAAGCAAGTCAGTTCTCTCTAAGTTAATTTATAAATTTAACACAATCCCCATAAATTTACCAAAAAGGCTATTTAAAAAAATGGAGTTAGACCCACTGATACAAAAGGTTTTATGAAGAAACAAATATAAAGAATAGCTAAGAAAACAGTGAAAAAGTAAACCTATAAAGGACAACTAGAACTCCAGACATTAAAATATTTTTAAAGCCTTTATAATTAGAGTAATGAATGTGGTAGGGAAGAAATTAGCTAACTTAAGTAACTTGGGAAATAATATTTTTGTTGTGTTTTAACATAAATATTTATTGATGGGTTGATGAATATAATTTTAACTAAAACAGCAAGAC